CTGCAAAAAGTTGGTCTTTGTATGTCTGAATGCTGGCTCCCCTGTGTTCGGATTTTGGAATGAGATTCAGAGGGAAGGGCCTGGCTGCGGGAAGCTAATAAATAACCTCCTGGGCTCCGCCAAGAAGGGGAAGAGAGGAGGGAGGGCGCCACCTTTGGGCCACCCTCGCTGTGGTGCTCTCAGGCCCAGATTCAGATTTCCTGTTAACACAGGAAGGGGTAGAAACATTCACGGTGTGTTCCAAGCCGGAGATGTTGGCAAGGACTCTGACAATGGCTTTGGTCTTTCCCCCCAGATCTGTAGTAATGAAGGAATTGTTTACAAAGCCCAAATATAATCACAGTTTGAAGCCAGAAGACTGCCTCTCTGAACCATGTACTGTATTACAGTTGGACATGAGGATGGTACAAATCTCTGATCTAGAGGTGAGCAGATGAACTGTCTCCTTCTGAGTTTAAGGAATCGACACCTGCAGAACCCTAGAGTGAACAGGGCCTGGCACACTGCACGTAACGTAAGCGAGTCCGTAGAGAAGCTCGACATATTCGATGTCATCCGTGGATGTTGGGGTGGGTGTGTTCGTGCCCCTGATTGTCATACAAGCAGTGAGTAGAGTAACTTTTTATTGATTTTAGCCACAGCTTTCCTGTCTTTTTTCATGTGTTCTATTCTTATTTGGATATATTTTACATAATCTTCACAGTTCATTTCTTTGTCATCTTCAGTTATTTGGGGGGATTGAATATTTAATATTACGGGGGAGATGGTTTGTCCTAGAATTTGAAATAAAATACGCTTTTTCTTTTTAGCTACCCAATTCCTAAACACAGCATTGTTGGTTTTAATGACTTCTTTTAGCCACGCGGTGGCACTCGGGAGCCTCAGTCCCCACACTGGGCGGTCCTTGAGAGAGGGCATGATTGGAAAACATCTGTCTGGTTCACGCAGAAAAATGATTCCCACCTTTACAAATGATAGTTCTAAGCACTGTGTGAGCTGAACTCTCCAGGTTTTGCCCTGGTAGCCGCTCAGGCTGGAAGCCTCCTCTGCTGTCGAACACCACGAGCCGAGCGGGGGAAGCTTTCCTCACCGTGTGGAGGCAGACCCTGGGAAGCGAGGCCTGGGTCGCAGACCTTTGAGCCACAGTGTTGTTACCGTTTACCTACAGGTTCACCACAGCTAGCATGCTAGTTATTTCTGGTCTTTGTGACCTCAGGTGGCACAGCTCTTTGAGTCCCGTGCATGGTCGTATGATGTGTAAAATAAGTGCAAGCACATGCACGATGCTAGTTGCCGGTCTTGCTCCCGAGTCAGGGGGAGCGTCTTCCCTGGGAATCCTGGCCGGCCGTTTTGCATGCTATGGAATCGATGTCGAT